CAGTGGGCTCAGTGGGCCTCCATGAGTTGCTACTGAGCAGAAATGAGAAATAGAGCTCTGTGCAGGTACTGTGATGATGTGAGGGCCTGTGGGGTTCACTCAGGCTCACCATGTCCCTGTGCCCACTGCAGGGGACCCGAAGGTGCCAGTGCTATACCAGGTGGAGCGAACGCGAACAGGGTCAAGCTTCTCGGTGCGTTCTGTGAAGGCTGTGCAACATGGCAAGCCCATCTTCATATGCCAGGCCTCCTTCCAGCACACTCAGCCCAGCCCCGTGCAGCACCAGTTCTCCATGCCCACTGTGCCACCACCAGAAGAGCTGCTTGACTATGAGGTCTTCATTGAACAGTATTTAAGGTGAGAGACCTGGAGGCTCCAGGGGAGTTTTCCAAACTGTGGTTGTGGCCAGGCTCTGTGGCTCACATTTGTAATCCTAGCACTCTGGGAGGCCAAAGCAGGAAGATCACTTGAGCTTAGGAGTTTAAGACCAGCCTGAGCAAGAGTAAAACCCTTATCTCTACTAAAAATAGAGAAATTAGCTGGGTATGGTGGTGGGCGCCTACAGTCTCAGTTACTTGGGAGGCTGAGGCAGCAGGACTGCTTGAGCCCAGGAGTTTGAGGTTCCTGTGAGCTAGATTGATGCACTCTAGACTGGGGAAACAGAGTGAGACTCTTTGCAAACAAACAAAAACAACCAGTAGAAAACAAAACAAAACTGTAGTTGCTATTTGTGGATCATAGGATCCTTCGGTGGGTCTATCTCCCCAGCCCCCAGAAGCATCCCCTCTCCTCCTTCAGGTCCGTGATCCAGCAGCTTAGGAGTTAATGTGTGGCAGGGGTGAGTGTCCAGCAGGCTGCAGAGATATAGTCCATGTTTGATGGGTTGCTGATTCAGTGCATGTTAAATATTTTGAATATCTAGTAAATAAAATATATTTCTTTGGATCACAGCTAGTAACATTTGAAAAATGCTGGTTCAAGGGAAAGAGCTTTGGGGTTCAGACACATGGATTCTGGCCAGGGCTGTGTCTCTATCGGTGCTCACCTGCTGTGTGACTTTGCCTAACTCCCCAGCCTCTTGTGACCCTAACTTCTTCATCTAAAAAATGGGAATGGTCATTTCTGCCTTAATTCCCAGATACTCTATCTTGTGGGGAAGCAGCAGGGTATGATGGGAGAGGTGTGGGTGTGGGAGCCTAAAAGGTCTGGGTTCAAATCTAAACTCTGTCCTTCCCAGCTGTGTGAGTTTGGGTAAATTGCTTTCCCACTCTGAGCCCATACCTATTTTAAAACGGTGCTAATCATAATTCCTACCTCATAATGCTGCTGTCAGGATTGAGATAAAAGATATAAGGCGCTTAGTAGATGCTCAGTAAATTTTATCAGTTCACCAAGAGAAAAAGGCATGGGGCCTGGTTTGTGGTTGCAACTTAATAAATGTTTGCTGAAATGAAAGGAAGATATTGTTAGAGGACCCTGAATTTAAAGCTGGGCTGTTGAATAAGGTAGTCAGTACCCATGTATTAATTTGCATTAAGTAGAATTAACAATTCTGTTCCTCAGTAGCATTAGCCACATTTGCTACCATAGTGGACATTCATTATCACAGAAGGTTCTATTGGACAGCACTGGAGGGTAGGGGTGAACAAGGCAGGACCTGTGAAAAGCATTGTGGGTGGTTGTTACTGTTTTGCAAGGGGTTTCCCGGGAAATGGGTTCCTTCCCGGGAAATGGGTTCCTTCCCTGGGAAGATACAATGTTCCCTACTGCTCCGGATTATGTAACTCAATCCAAGTCAGGCGACCTGTTTCTTGGATGTTTAGAATAATGAAATAGTTACGAGTACAAACTGTGGGCTTGGCGCCAGTAGCACAGTGGTTACAGTGCCAGCCACATACACCGAGGGTGGTGGGTTCGAACCCAACCCAGGCCAGCTAAACAATGACAACTGCAACAAAAAATAGCCAGGCACAGTGGCGGGCACCTGTAGTCCTAGCTACTTGGGAGGCTGAGGCAAAAGAATCACTTCAGCCCAAGAGTTTGAGGTTGCTGTGAGCTGTGACACCAAAGCACACTACTGAGTGTAACATAGTGAGACTCTGTCTCAACCAAAAAAAAAAAAAAAAAAAAAGCAAAAGAGTACAAACTGTGGAGCCAGATTGTCTGATTCCAAATCCTGCCCTCTCCGATTTCTGAGCAATCTACTTGGATTCTCTGTGCTTATTTCACTTACCAAACGGGGTTGGTAATAGAACCTACCTCACAGGGTTGTTGGGAGGAGTGTTACTGTATGTGCAATGCTTAGAATAGTGCATGATAGAGCATGTCTTATCACTATGATGTGTTGCTTGTATGTGCATTATCTTGTTTTCTCCACAGGGTTTGTTTTGAGGTAGGCGACCATTATCTACATTTTACAGATAGGAAAATAAGCTCAGAGAGATTCTAAAGTAGCACAAGGCCACGTGGCCCATTCGTGGCAAAGAAGGGATTCAGACACTATACTATCGCTTGCTGCGAAGGGAAGGGAGCTTTGGGATAAGTCGTTCCTGTGGAAGAATGGGGGGGGGGCAAGAAGAGGCAGGGCAGATGAGGGTGCCCCTTCTCCCTGGGAATTCCCATGCTCTCCTTTTTCCTTTCAGGAACCATCATCTCCAAGAGAAGTACCCACTGTTGTTGAACCGAATTGCTGCCCGGGAGGTACCCATTGAGATCAAGCCAGTAAAGATACCCACCTTGAGCCAGCTGCAGAGAATGGAACCTAAACAGATGTTCTGGGTGCGAGCCCGGGGCCATATTGGTAAGAGGACCCCATGGACCAGGGGAAAACACTCTGTAGGGGTCTAGGCCGGCCACTCATTTGCCATGGAGCCTTGGGCACATTACTTCCCCTCTCTGTGCCTGTTTCCTTATGTGCATGATGGGCAAGTTGGGCTCCCTCAGCCCTTTGCATGGGGAGAATGGGGAGGTGACTATAATCCCAACGTGGGACCTTTCTGGGGAAGGCAAAGTACCTCGCTGAGGTCCTTATCCAGATCCGCTGCTAACCTTCAGGTGCCTTTGTGCAAATTGGAAAAAGATACATACCCCTTTCAGGGCCCAGTGTGGGAGACTTGGGAGTAAGGACTGGAGTTTAGGCCTCACCCTCCCTTGTCCCTCCCACCTCCCTCATCCCATCACTTTGAGCCAGATGTCCTGTGCAGTAACTGAGCTGCACATCCATGCATGGGAGTCTCTTTCTCCCCCCACCTCCCTGCAGGTCCTGAGCTGGAAAGCCCAGGAGCCCAGGGCTGATGGGGGCCGGGACCTGTTGCAGGGGAGGGAGACATCAAGATGCACTGCTGCGTGGCGGCCTATATCTCAGACTATGCCTTCCTGGGCACTGCACTGTTGCCCCACTGGTGGCAGTATAAGGCTCACTTCATGGTCTCGCTAGACCACTCTATGTGGTTCCACGCCCCCTTCCGAGCTGACCACTGGATGCTTTATGAATGCACAAGCCCCTGGGCTGGTAAGTGTGGGGTTGACTGGAACAAGGACGTTGACCTTGGTTGGGGGGGGGGAGTGGCATGGGGCCCACTTTCTTCAGTAATGCTGCCTCCCCCAGCCACCTGTGGGGTACTTCCTCTCCTGCCCCCCAGGCTCTGGCATTCTCATCTTCAAAATGATAGGGTGAGACTTTGAGGCTGGGACAACTGCTCAGCTCTAAATCTCTAAAACATGCTAGGAACATAATTCACTTTATCTCAGAGACCACTTTCTAGTCCCAGAACCACTTCAGATTCTCTGGGTGAACTTATTAAATCCTATCTCCCATTTGAGGCTCAGTTTCCCCATCAAACAAAGAGGGTTACATTAGAGCAGTAGCATCCAAATCGGTAGTCTATCAGATTGCCACTTGGGGGAGCTTTTTCAAAGTAGATTCTGATTCTACTCTCAAGATTCCAACTCAGATCTTGGATGAGGTCCAGGAAACTGTATTTTTTTTTTTCCTATAGAGACAGAATCTCATATCACCCTGGGTAGAGTGTCTCGTCGTCACACAGCTCACAGCAAACTCCAACTCCTGGGCTTAGGCAATTCTCTTGCTTCAGCCTCCTGAGTAGCTGGGACTACAGGTGCCTGCCACAACTCCCAGCTATTTTTTTGTTGCAGTTAGGCTGGGGCCAGGTTTGAACCTGCCACCCTCGGTATATGGGGCCAGTGCCCTACCCATTGAGCCACAGGGACCACCCAGGAAACTGTATTTTTAAACAGCTCTCTAAATGATTCTGCTGATAAGTTGGCTGGGGATCAGGGCACGCAGTGGTCTCTAAGGGCCTCAATATTTAGACACTCCTTATAGGGGATAGAGAGAAACCCCAACTGACTCATCAATGTCACATGTCTAGCTCCAGAACACTGGTTTCCTTTCCAAGGAAGTATATTTCAAAAAAAGAAAAATCTGGCTTTATAAAACAGGGACAAAACTTAAGAACTCTTTTTTTTTTTGCAGTTTTTTTTTTTTTTTGGCTGGAGCTGGGTTTGAACCCATCACCTCCAGTATATGGGGCCGGTGCCCTACTCCTTTGACCCACAGGTGCCGCCCTTAAGAACGCTTAAAACTCAGAAAAGGGGTACTTTCAAGCACTAATGGCATCACAATAAAAGATTAACAGTCCTGAAGTTAGGGTACTTAGGTTGAGGGTTAGTCTGATCCTGGGGCCAAGTTCCTGAGCTTCTCTGAACTACAGGGCCATTGTCTAGAAAGTGGGACAACAAATGCCTGCTGCATGTCGCTCTGTGAGAACCAAGTGAGCTCTGCTATATGTAGGGAGCTCAGCAGTTCTTTATAAATGTCAGATTTAAGCCCAAAAGGAGCAAGGGAAAAGAGAATCTCCGAGAGGGGAGGGAGGAGAGGCCAGACCTGAGGCCTCAGGTCCTTTCCCTGGGGCCCTTCTTCCCCTTGGTGGTGGGGCCAATAACACCAGTGGTATTATTTTCTAATGAATTACCGCTTGGAGGGCTTGGCTTCATTTATTGTAAAGGGAACAGAAGTGGCCAGAGGTATGGCAGATCTTGGCCAAGCTATGTAAGGAGACTATTCTCCCAGTTCCTCCCTCTGCTTTTTTTGAGGAAGCCAGCCTATACATGAAAGTGCTTTTAAACTGTCAAGTGGCTTCCCATAGGAGGAGTCACCCAACAACTGTCTGTAACACAGGCTCAGAAAGCGGCACTTAGAGAATTGGAGCACTGGGTGTGCCCTTGTGTGGGACAGCCCTCCCCTGGGCCATGCTCTTCAAGAACCATGTTTGTCTGTGCTGAAGCAGAGAGAAGGTCATTCTCACCCATCCCCTCACCCACAGGTGGCTCTCGGGGGCTGGTCCATGGGCGGCTGTGGCGTCGGGACGGAGTCCTGGCTGTGTCCTGTGCCCAGGAAGGTGTGATCCGAGTAAGGCCCCGGGTCTCAGAAAGCAAGTTATAACCAGAGGTACCAGATGACCTGGAGCTTCAAGTACCTCACTTCTACCACCACTTCTAAGGCAGAAGGACAGTCCTCTGGCCCTCAAATCCAATAAAGAGACTGATACCACTGGAGTGGCTGGCCTTACTTCCACTGGGCTAGAGCGGCAGCCCTCCTTTCATTCTTCAACTCCAGGACTCCATGGGCAGAGTCCTCAGCCCCTCAGCCAGGCTGCCTCACTGGCTTGTAGGCCCATGGACAAGGTAACACTGACCCTGTTTATCAGCTGGAGAGGCTGTGTCAGACTGTGTCAGACTTCTCCCCTGCGCCACCCCAGGGCAACCCCAGCCATAGTGTGCCTGAGCCCAGCTCAACAGAAGTTAGTCTCCTTAATCTGCTGCATATTCGCTTTGTGAAACTTCTAGAGGCTCCCAGGACCCCCTACAGCAGCAACCCACAGGAACTGTATTAAAGGGCCACGGCATTAGGAAGGTTGAGAACCACTGCCCTACAGCCTACCAGCGGCTCTCTATGTCCTAACAGGGCCTTACCCCCCATCCTGGGGCAGCCCCTCCCCCTATAGTGGCCATAATTTGAGGCAAGGGTTAATCCAGCACCTCCTTGATAAGCAATTCTTTGAGACTCGGGGGTGGTGTGGGGGTAAGGCCCGCCTCCTGCAGGGCCTGAAGTCGGGCCTCTGTTTGGCGTTTGTCCAGGCCCAGGCGCCAAGAGAGCCGAACGTGGGCCTCCAGAAAGGGTGCCAGCAGAGGGTGGAGGCGTTTGTCCCCCAGCAGCTGTAGGGCCCTCTCACAGCATGCCCGGGCCTCTGCAGGGTCTTCCAGCTCCTGGTGGCACACTGCCAGCCCAGCCAGGGTCAGTAGGGGACGGTCTGGGCCAGAGGGGGTGCCCAGCTGGGCCTGCAGTTGCCAGGCATTGGCCCAGAGCGCCAGAGCCTCACGATAGAGGCCAGTACAGGTGAGGCTCTGTGCCCGCCGCAGCTCTGGCAGCACGAAGAAGTCCTGTAGGTCTGAGGCATGGCGCAGCTCAGGTACCGCATGTAGGTGGCCCAAATACTGCTCAAAGGCCCGGCTACGGCGGGCAATGGTCTCTGCAGTAAAATTCCGGCGCAGGCGCTTACGTGGGAAGGAGATGGCAGCCATGGTACCCCGGAACTGCCGCTGCAGGTTACGGTGCAACCGTTCAAAGTCCGAGTAGCGGCGAGAGATGTGGGCTGGCTGGTGATCTGGCCCTGGGCCCATCACGGCGAGGGTGTAGAGCTGCCGGAAGGGTGGGTGTCAGGGCAGGTGCAAGGTATCCACAAGTCCCTTCCCTCCCCCGCCCATCACACTCCCAATTCTGCTCCCCACCCCTTCCCCTTGTCCCTGGGACTGGGCCCAGCATGGTAGGAGCTGCTAGGGAGCCCAGTTCCATCTTACCTGAGGCTTGTCTGAAATGACCCAGGCCCAAGGCAGCACAGGGAAAGAAAGACAGAGACGAGCTTCAGTGCCTGGCTGCTGCCCTTTTACCCCTCTGGGACACTCCCTTCCTGTAGGGCAGTCAGTTCTTCTGACAGCCCCTCTGGAAAACCAGGCGTGAGCTGAAACCCAGGCGATCTCCAGGCCTCTGAGCCAATGTTGAGGACCAACTTGGAGTTGTGTTTCACTCTGGACAACTGGCCCCCACATCCCTGGCCAGACTCTGCCAAAGTTTACCCAGAAAACATGTCTTTAGATAGTCCCAATTGTGATCACTGAGAAAAGTATAATGAACTCAGGCTCTAATCCCAGGTCACTGCTCCCTCCCTCAGACAAGGCAGTCCCACTCTGAGTCCACTTTGTCTCTGGTTGGTATTTAGTCAAGAACTGGGACCTGCACAAGTGTTGGCACCTGAGGTTTTTAGGTGGCACATTCTAGAGTAACACTGCATCAGAGAAAGGAGGTGATTCCTCCTTCATTCAGGTTCTTTAATCTGACTACAAATTGAGATGCTCTCAATTTGGTTTTGGAAAAACACTTCTCTTAACACTTCGTCTCCATTTTTAAAAAAGAGCCAGAAAGCGAATCTCAGGTCAGGGCCTTGTTCAGGCAACAGAAACTAGGCAGGATTTAACAACGTTGTTTCATTTTCATTGCTTTTATTTTTATGGCTAGCTTCTTTTTTATGGCAAGTGAGACTTTCCATATAGAGTAGTACAATGAAGTTGGGTTTTAAACTGATTTAAGAAAAAAGATAGGTTCATTTAAAGATAAATGTTAAGCAAAGAACAGTACAAGTAGCATTTTTAGGTCAAGAATCATGAAGGGGGTTCTGGAATGACCCAGGTTTGGGAAACACTGAACAAGGTGACTACTAAGCCCCCCAGGTCGGAGAACCAAAGTGGATTAATTGATAATAACAGTGAGCCAGCAGGTTTAAAGCAGGAGTTAGCAAGCATTAGATGTCAAAGACAGACTAACACTGCACCCAGATTCTTCTCTCAACTTGTCCTGTGGAACCAACAGCATCCTAGCCACCCCTAGTCAGTCAGGTTTGTCTACTTTGTACTTGAAGATTCACTAGGTACATTGATATTAAACTTTAAAAGAAACCTATTTTATTCTCATTCAACTCTGCATTCCCAAAACATATTGCTTATAAAATTTTATTTATTCATTTTGGAACAGTTATTAACATTCTAGGAAACCAGTTTTGTGCAGGACACATTTCAGGACACCAATTTTCTTTGACTCACTTTTTTTTGTTGTTGAGTCAGGGTCTCACTATGTTGCCCTGGGTAGAGTGCTGTGGCATCACAGCTCACAGCAACCTTAAACTCTTGGGCTTAAGTGATTCTCTTGCCTCAGCCTCCCAAGTAGGTAGGATTACAGGTGTCCACCACAACACCCGGCTATTTTTGGATATAGTTGTCATTGTTTATTGGCAGGCCTAGGCTGGATTCAAACCCACCAGCTCCGGTGTATGTGGCTGGTGCCCTAGCCGCTTTGCTACAGGCGCCAAGCCAAAACCCCCATTTTTATATCCTTTATTTCATCTGATCATTGTGATGTCCAACTAACATTGGTAATAATGATAGTTCCATTAACTGAGCACTTAATCTGTGCCTCATGCTGTACCAAGCACCTTTACATCTATGCTTTCATTTAATCATCATAGCAGCACTGCAAGGAAGATGCCTTTATCTCTGGCAGCTGAGGAAGCAGGCTCAAAGATTGCCCTAAGTCACAGCTGGTAAATGGCCTAGCTGGGATTCAATCCAGGTCAATCTGATTCCAAAGCCTATGCTCTTCACTTCTAAAAGATATACGAAGACTTAGAGTCTCCATTGTACAGGGAAGATGACTTGCTTCTCCAGACACGGGTCAGGGCAAACTTGGCTATCCTGTTCTGTCTTGTCATTCTTTTCCATTTGGGTACCCAAAGTCACCTCATTCCCCCCTGCCTCTGAGCTGCTCCTTGGTGACTGATCGTTGGTGTCCCCTTCCTGTGTATGACCCCTTGTCCACCTAGAGCTCTGGGATATTTGCAGTTAAATGTCAATTGTCAGAGTTAAACCCTGCTGGAACTGGAGCAGTCACCCCATAGGCGTGGCCCTCATTTACTAACAACAGAGAGATGCAGAGGCCCAGATGTGGGACAGGACTCCAGGCCCCCTTCCTGCTGAGTCAGAGGTGGAGGAGGGTGAAGAGGAGGAGAGTGTAAGGCAGAGAGTTGCCACTGTCAGGAGCAGCCAGCTCAGCTGTATTTCAGGACTGGCTGAGGGCAGGACCTGGCATGGTCCTCTTTCTCCATGTCAGTCTGTCCTCTCCTCAGCAAGATCCTCTACACTGCTCTTCACTCCAACCTCTACTAATCCCCAAAGTCTAGACCCTTAGGACAAGATTATTCTGTACAGGATGGTGCTTGAGTATTGATTCACCTGGGTTACAAGGAGGCCATAGCAGGCCCTAGATGCCAGACATTGTCAATCGAAAGTTAAATGACATAGCTACCATTTTATTGAGCACCAGGCACAGTGCTAAGAGTTTTTTGTGCACTGTCTCACTTAACTCCTGCTGTCATCTTCTACACTATCCCCACTACTCAGATGGGGACACAAGGACCATCAGGGTTACATATTTCACACAAAGTCAACAACCGATAATATGTGGGATGTGAATCAGGGTTGGTCTGGATTCCAAGTCCATTTCCTTAACCACTAACCCGTGTAACTTTTGTTTCACATCTGACCGGATAATATCCTTCCCTCTGTATCTTGTATTTTGCTACAGTTTGCAAAAACCCTGTGGGCAGGATCAGGAAGAACACACTCCAGTTCTCTTAGTCTCAAAACCAGGATAAAGGGGCGGCACCTGTAGTTCAGTAGGTACGGTGCGGGCCACATACACCGAGGCAGGCAGGTTTGAACCTGGCTCAGGCCTGCTAAAACAACAATGACAAATGCAACAACAACAAAAAATAGCCAGGAGTTGTGGTGGGCACCTGTAGTCCCAGCTACTTGGGAGGCTGAGGCAAGAGAATCACTTAAGCCCAAGAATTGGAGGTTGCTGTGAGCTGTGATGCCACAGCACTCCACTGAGGGTGACATAATGAGACTGTTTAAAAAAAAAAATAGTATAAAGACAGTGGCTCATGCCTGTAATCCTAGCACTTGGGGAGGCCGAGGCAAAGGCTGAGGACTGCTTAAGGTCAGGAGTTTGAGACGGCCTGAGCAACAGTGAGATACCATTTCTACTAAAAAACTGGAAAAATCAGCCTGGTGTAGTGATAAGAGATATGAGACAGGTCCTTAATTTCTACTTTATTCAGTGTCAAGAAAACTAAGCCATTTGCCTGAGGACTTGCTCAAGTTACCTCTTCTTTCTGGCCTCAATTTCTACCTGTATGAAATGAGGCAGCATTTATAACTACTCAGTCAGATCCCTCAGGAAGTCTTCCCTACTCTCTTAGCTATACTTCTAGCCCAGGGGTTCCTGGACTTTCACTCACCACATACTTGGAGGGTGGGTCCTTGACAACGTTGGCGCTGGTCACTTCGAAGAGCAGCCTCTGGGGTACCAGCGTGTTCCGGGACTTCTTCCAGAAATCCTGCAACTGCCGGGCCAGGAGCTGACTGCTCCGCTGCCCATCAGATGGGGGGCTCCGTTCTGCACAAGCACATGACCAGTCATATCTACAGGCCTAGGGCACCAGGGTCAACATAAACCATGTGTCATGACCTCACTCATCCTTCCAATGTGAGATAGGATTATCCCCATTTTACAGAAATGGAAACCAAGGGCCAGAGAGGGCCCAGGAGCTAACCACCATACAGGGAAGATAGGGGCTAAAGAATATCACCATCCCCAAACTTTGCCAGCGCATCGTAATCATTTGTGTCCCAGGCCCTGTACCTTTAATGCCAGCAATAACTCTGAGCTAGGAGTGATTTCTCCCATTTCACACAGGGAAAACTTGGCTTAGAGACCTGTTGTGACTCTCTCAAGGTCACACAGCCCAGAGGTGGCTGAGGACGCTTTAAGAAGTGTGGGAGTTTCAGCTGGATCCACTCAGGGCGCCCAAGATGCTCTTGAGAAGAAGCGGGATGGAGGCCTAATCGAGCCCCAGGGTTCCCGCCTCTGTCCTCCCGCACTCGCCTGCGTCTTCTGCAGACGCCTCGTCCCCTGGAGGCAGCAGATCCTGGCCAGCCTCCTCCTCGTCCTCTTCCTCGTCCTCGTCGTCCTCGTCGTCCTCGGCGCTGGTGAAGCTGAGAGTGCCGCTGAGGCGGGAGGACAGGCCCTCGGCGTCGTCATCCTCCAGCTCTGAGCTCTCAGGGAACTGCTCGGCCTCAGAACCGACTGCCGCCTCCCCGGGGCCATCACCGGCCAAGGCGTGCCGCAGCCGGTGCAGGAGCCGCGAGGCCATGGCACCCTGGGGGGAGCGCAGAAGCTGGGTCCTGGGCTGGGGAGGAGGAGGATCCCAGCTCTTGGATAGAGGTGGAGGGGCGGGGCCAGGACAGAGGGGAGGGGCGCGCCTGAGGCCACGCCCCTGCCTGCTAGAGACCCAGCTCGCGTCGCTGTCACTCCACCCACACACAGCTTAGGGCCGCATTCTTCCCAGGAGGGGCTTCGGACACTCCCCACTTCTCTTTCGCACCTCTACGCGCTCTACCTGCTGTGTCCCGGGGGGCATTCAGGGTCACGCTTCTCCCCTGGGGTCCCAATGCAACCTCCCCGCGGCTCACCAACGACCGGCGGTTTCTGCCGGGCTCCGCCAGGCCCTGGAAGCTGGGAGCGTCGCTCAGTTCTTCCTGCCGCCGCCCCGCCTCTTGCCCCGCCTGCTCTCCGGGCAGCCAGAGTATCCCGAGAATCCCCGGCCCTTAGCTGCAGGAGGGACTCGGGAATCCTGGCTCTGCCAAAAGGAGGCCCAGGCCTCCGGAGGAATTATCCACAATCCCGCCCAGGCGCATACGCTCCTTGACTCCTCCCAGCCCTCCCGAAGACCCAAGTCAGCCCAATCTATTCCCTTAATTTCCACCCAGCGCTCAACTTTCCAAAGCCGTTATATGACATTAGTGAGCCCATTTATTGGGTAGGAAGAAAAAAAAAAAAACTGAGGAGAAGAGAAGCATGATTGGTCTGGAATCTGACCTCGCTGAGCCTAGGTTCTGTCATTCGTAAAACAGGAACTATAATACTAATTTTGCCACTCTTGTAAGAACCCTAGTTCGGGCTGGACGCAGTGGCTGCTACCTGTAATCCTAGCACTTTGTGAGACTGAGGCAGGAGGATTGCTCGAGCTCAAGAATTTGAGACCAGCCTGGGCAAAAGGGACCCCATCTCTACTAATAATAGGAAGAACTAGCCAGGAGTGGTGGAGGTAGGAGAATCCCTGTATCCAGGAGTTTGAGGTTGCAGTGAGCTATGATGACCCCACTGCATTCGGGCCGGGGGACACAAACAGACTCTATCTCAAACAACAAAACTCAAACACCTTAGTCCAGTGCCTGGCACAGAGCAGGGGATGTTGAAATGATCAGTTACATGATAATTATTGTTTCTACAGTGTTCATAGGCTTGTGCAATCTCATTTGAATCTGACACATGGGAAGTATGAGAATGGAGAAACGCAGACTCAGAGGCTGAGTTACTCTGCCAAAGTCACATAGCTTGCCAGAGGTTTCTGAGAATGGAGTCCAGGTGCCCTGAGTTCTGCACACTGCTCTTTGTCTACGCAACAGGCCTGGTAATTTCAGTAGTTCTCTCTAGCTCTCCGTTTTATCTTTTATCCTCAGAGCAGCAGTAGGTCAAGAAGAGTTTATTGTGGTTTCCTGTCAGAAGGCCTGGATATTAGTCCTTAGCAGGGCAGATTTTGATAGTTGTATGATAAAAACAAAATCAAAGTCTAGGCACTGTGGCTCGTGCCTGTAATCTTGCACTCTGGGAGGCCAAGGTGGGTGGATTGCCTGAGTTCACAAATTCGAGACTACCCTGAGCCAGAGTGAGACCTTGTCTTTAAAAATAGCCCAGCTTTGTGGCAGGTGCCTGTAGTCTCAGCTACTTGGGAGGCTGAGGCAAGAGAATCACCTGAGCCCAGGGGTTTGAGGTTGCTGTGAGTTGTGATGCCACGGCACTCTACTGAGGGTGACAAAGTGAGATTCTGTTTCCAAAAAAAAAAACTGGCAAAACAAAAACAAACAAAATCAAAATCTCTCTGACAGTAGCTCTTGCCCTTTTTGGGTGGCACAGGAGAGAGGGGCAGGAAGAGGCAGGAGGGAAATACCTTTGAATGAACAGAAGGCATGTCTACTCCTTGACCTCTGTGTGAGCAGAAGGGCTGGGCCCTCAAGGTTCTATCTTGTCCTTTATCTTCTTATAGGCATTTTACATATTGTCACATCTCACCTTCACAACATCCTGGGGAAGAGACTGTTAACTGGGCAATAACTGGCCATTTTCAAGATGAATAGACTGAGGCAAACTGACTTCCTTAAGATCTATATCTCAGGGCTCGGCGCCTATGGCTCAACCGGCTAAGGTGCCAGCCATGTACACCTAAGGTGGCGGGTTCGAATCCCCAGCCCGG